TGCGGGCGTTCCAGCAGGCGGGCGCCGCCCTCGGACTGGGTGCCCTCAGCCCCCGGTGCTGAACCAACTGCGCCGCGGGGGGGCCAGCCACGCGATGCTGACGAACGCCAGGGAGTTCGGCGACATCAAGAAGCGCGGGCGCTGGGAGGCCGACAGGAGCCTCAAGCGGCACGCGAAAGGTGGTCGAGTTCAAGAGCAGCTTCAGCGTCTGCGACCTGTCCTACAGTCTCAGGCCCTCGGTTGCGCCGTGACTATTGGAAGCGCCCCATGCAGAACCTGAGCTCCTGGGCCCACCTGTCCGACTCGAAGGTGTACCTGGAGATCTTCAGTGGCTCTGGAAACTGGTCCCGGGCGCTGCGGCGAAGCATGTTTTTTTCGCCTGGCGCCGCGGGTCTTCGAGCTGGACGTGGACCACGAGCCAATCCTCGGTGACCTCAGCCGACGGCGAGCCCAGCGCGTGGTGCGCGGGTGGCTCCGCGGTGGCCTGCTGCAGGGCGTCTGGCTTGGGATGCCCTGCAGCTCGTGGTCACGGGCGCGGAAGCGGCCTAATGGGCCACCAGCCATGCGGGGCGCCACCCACGTGCTTGGCCTGCCTAACCTGTCGTCGGGTGACTCTCTCAAGGTCGAGACGGGTAACCGGCTGTCGCAGTTCTCATTCACCTCTTCCTGGAGTGTGCCAGGCGCGGAGTTCCCGCAGCAATCGAGAACCCATCCACGTCGTGGGTCTGGCAGACGCGCTGGGCCCAGCATGCAGCGCGTCAGCCAGGGGTTACGACTGTGGAGTTTGACTTCTGCGCCTTCGGCACGGCCTGGAGGAAGAGGGCCCGCGTGATATATTTTCATTTGAATTTCGACGCGATCAGCAAATTCAAGTGTACAGGGCGTTGACTTTGTTCTTTCTCACACCGATCACATCCAGCTCTGGAAGGCAAGACGCCGCCCGGGGCCTTCTGGACAATGATTGCCGAGCCATACCCACCCAGTTTGTTCTGTGCCCTTGCCAGAGCCTATCGTGAAGCTAGAATGTCATCCACGCACCAAGCCTTGGTGCGATTAGCGGCCTAGTGGCCAGTTAGATTTTCGGAGAGATGTTTCGAGGTCGCTTCTGTTTGTCCTGGCCTCCCGCGTCTCAGCTCGACGCGGATGGATTGTGCACTCGGGCTGGACAACGTTTGCGAACAGACATTGTCGAGATGCTGGCCTGGAAAGAGAGCGGGGCCGAGGATATCCTATGCGCGCATGCCTTCTCTCATCCCGTCACGGGCTCAGGCCGTCGATGTTAGATAGCTTCCGTGGGTTTTTGGGCTCAGCCCTGCCCACCCACCCTTGAGCCTTGTATAGAGATGCTCCGTCTGTCGCTGGAGGTCGCTTCTGTTTGCCCTGGCCTCCCGCGTCTCAGCTCGACGCGGATGGATTGTGCACCCTGGCTGGGCAACGTTTGCGAACAGACACTGTCGAGATGCTGGCCTGGGAAGAGAGCGGGGTCGAGGATTCCTTTCCTCCGCCGCCTCTGCGCCTCTCGGCTCGCTTGCCTCGGCATTTCCTCCGTGCCCCCCCTGCGCCCACACTGACCGAGCGGTAGAGAGGCGGCGTCCGTTGCATGGTTATGGTCAGTCGCCACGCCGATGTTCAAGCCTGCCTTGGCCTCGTCGAGATGCGGAGTCTCCGACGTGCGCAAGCAGTGGGAGGCACAATGGCGACCATCACCAGGGCACTCTGGTGCAAAAGGCTGTCCCAACAGATGACGGCGCCACGCAGCAGCTGTTCGTTTCCGCCGTCAAGCAAGTATGATTATTTGATTCCGTCCAGGGCCGAGTTCCTCGAGGCCGTCAGGTGCTCCTAAGGCTGCGTTTGATTGGCTGGCTGGTTTCTAGGGGGGATACGGGAACTGGACAGCATGCACGCACCCATTATGGACGAGCTGTACACGTTGTGGGTTGACACGACGGCCCCTTGTGTGCGACATTGTGGACATCCACATCAAGATGCATGTATTCGGGATCTTCTCTCCTGGGGATTGCTGACCGACCGAAGGGAGAGGAGGATGCGAAACCTATCTCGGCGGGCTGGACATTACTACGTACCTGGGTTCGGCTTAGAACTCTGGCACTGGCAGGTTCTGCACCGACGCCCCCCTCTGAATCAATGAGACAATCGCAGACACGTCTCAACCACCCACGCCATCAGCCAGTAGTTGTATGCTTGCGAGACGGGCACGAGCTGATGTGAATTTGATATTCCAAACTGGTATCGTAATATCAATCATGAGGTCGCAGGTGCCAGCATGTAGGCACCAGGGTTTCCAGGAGCTGTCCGTTTCTCATGTGCAGCCGGTTGGGCTGAACCTAGGCATTACGGTATGAACGGGACGATCTCCAAGCCCATCATGGAACCGCACCGCGGCCTACCTCAATGGGGTGATACTGCCCCGTCGGTGGTGATATGTACGCTCAGCCCTTGGCAACCGCAGGGTTCGTCAGGATGTGTCATGGGCGATCGCTACCTGGTAGAATCATCGCCTGGGGCTCTCGAGGGCGGCTTCGGGGACACGAAGCAGTTCGACGCGGACATCGGCTACATCGAGAATGCGAGGAAGAGGCAGACCTGGCCAGATCAAGGTCACCCCCTCGAGGAATTGAGCACCTAGGGGTTTTGGCGTGTCCTACCACAGCGGAGTACGACATCATACCTCGTCAACGGTGGCAGAGGGTGATGTGAGCCATCGCCATTTTGGGGTCTGCCCCAGGAAGCTGCATGGTACGCGCTCGCCTTGCTTTTGCTTATATACGACCACTATGGACGTGAGCCTCGCCCATGCGCACACCGCCTTCTTATGAGGCGACCCAGCTGCCGGCCAAGGCGGCATGGCGAACACAAACAATTTGGTGGTGCTTGGGGCGATGGCGGTGCCGGAATATATGGCTACACCCTGTGGTATCATGTTACTTGTTTGTGCTCGAAAAGTTGAGGGACGAACGGTTCATCTGGTCGTCCTTCTTGCCGAGGTGGACCCGTGCCACGGCCACCGCGTGCACAAGCTCGTTGCCAACGCCCTGGGCGGGAACAACAGGTTCTGGGCAGGCACGGTCAGGGCTCAGCACCTCCTGCGTGGCATCGCGCGCATCAGGTGCATGCAGACCGTCGTCCGTAACCGTGAAGATGCCGAAGAGGTCGACGACGTCGGCGTGGAGGCATGCAGTTCGAAGTTTTTGGCCACATGGCGCCGTGGTTTTGGTGAACAAGAAAGATTTGCTGTATATATATATATATATGTATAGATGTATGTGTATATATATACATATATATATATATATATATGCAGGAGCGGCGCTGCTACCTCCGAAACGAGGAAACAGACAAGACGCAACCACACATGTTTCAATGCCTTGCGGCCTTCCGTGTGTCACTTTGTGGTGGAATGCCCGCGTCTTCTGAGCCCCAGGGAGCGCCTGACTATGCAAAATGAGCTTCCACCGCAGTTCTGGACGTCTCTTCCGAGAGTGTCTGCCAAGAGGGGGTGGGTTACGGTTGCAGTTGCTCCGGCAGTCAGAGACCGCTCCATGATGTTGATTGCAGTCTGTTTATGGGCATTGGTGTGGTGAGCTCTGGTCTGGATGAAATTCTTCATGATGCCGCTCTTCTTCCTCGATCGGGGGCCCGTCGTGGAGCCATGTAACTACCAGGTGTGGACCTGCCCCATTGTCCGGATGTTCCACTTCACCATTCTATCCCTCGGTCAATGTGGGCACGGGGCAATTGTTCGAGCCCGCCTCCACCCAACGATGCCGAAACGTTGCAGACGCGTCCATTGCCATGCAGACGTCGATTGGAGACATTGGCGCGTCGGAGGAAACATGTGCGTGCTGAGCGGAAGCAGTGAGCCTTCCATTCCGGGCGCGCGCGCTTCAGGCTATACCTTTCCCCCTGGGGCGTTTTCCAATTGTTGCTAGATGTGGCCCTGATTCATGGTGGCCCTAGCTTTCCCATGGAGGCGCAGATGACTGCCAGGGCGCCCCTCATGAGGCCCCGAGGGCCAAGAGACCCCCAGAATGGAACGCACAGCTGGGAGCTCTTGGGCCAGGACCATGTCGTAATCGAGAATACGAAAACCCCGAATCCGAATAACACAATGAGGCCGTGGCCCAACTTACGTCGGTTCTCTTCCCTGCATTGAGGATAATCAATCCCCTATCCTTGCCGTCTCGGGCCTCTTCACTTAGGTCCGCCCCCAGAAGGTAAGGGACCCCTTAACCCAAGGAGAACTTTAGTTTTGGGGGGGCCCCCCCCCCCCCCCCGCCGGTGTTTCTCGTGGCTGGGAATAGACTCCGCCCCTCCTCCTCCTGCGCCTCTTCCCGTCGTGCCTCCATGCTCCTCCTCCTCCTCCTCCTCCTCCTCCTCCTCCTCCTCCTCCTCCTCCTATTCCTCTTCTCCTCCTCTTCCTCCTCCTCCTATTTTTCCTCGTCGTTGTTGCGCGGCGAATGCCACTCCGACAATAAGGGCGCTAAAGTAGTTCCCACGATTGGCGGGGCAGTTGCGGGTCCAGTCTAGCAGCACCCGAGCCTGGCCTCTCACTGTCCCCACTCCGCGCTGCCGCGCGCGCCGGCTGCTGCCGAGCGTCGGGACCGCCGCGAGGACACCGCGCGGCCCGCTGCCGAGCAAAAGGGGGAGGAGGAGGAGGAGGAGGAGGAGGAGGAGGAGGAGGAGGAGGAGGAGATGGAGAGGAGGATGGGGAGGAGGAGGGCGGGGGGGACCCGTGCGCCGCACGCTCCGCCCGCTGCTTCGCCCGCGGCTCGGCCGAGGCTGCGGCCCGTGCTCCAGCGCGACGTGGAGCACGTGTGCTTCGCCCGGGGCTCAGCCGCGTCCCCCCCGCTCTGTACCTCCTCCTCCTCCTCCTCCTCTCCTCCTCCTCCTCCTCTCTCCTCCTCCTCTTCCTCCTCCTTCCTCCTCCTCCTTCTCCTCCTCCTCCTCCTCCTCCTTCCTCCTTGTCCTCCTTCTCCTCCTCATCCCCTTCTTCCTCCTCCTCCTCCTGCTCCTCCTCCTCCTTCTCTCCTCCTCCTCCTGCTCCTCCTCCTCCCCTCCTCCTCCTCCCCTTCCTCCTCCTCCTCGTGCTCCTCCCTCTCTCCTCCTCTTCCTCCTCCTCCTCCTCCTCCTCCTCCTCCTCCTCCTCCTCCTCCTCCTCGTCCTCCTCGCCTCTTCGAGGCCTTCGATCATGGACCGCTTGTTGAGCTCAACCGCCCATCTTTCGCGCCGAAGACCGTCCGAAGACCGCCGAAGATCGCCGAAGACTGTCCGAAGACTGCCGAAGACCGCTAGAAACCCGCCGAAGGCCGCCCAGGGCCGACGGGCAACAATGGCTCCATGGTCGAACACGTAACCTCTTCCTTATCCTTCGGGGGGAAAACATACGGATACCGCTGATCGTCCTGGCAAGCCCTCGTGGCCACAGCTGGGATCCGCGAAGTTCTGATCAGAAGGCATCCCCAGGGATATCCAGGGAGTATCGGTGGCGGGACTGTAGTACCCGTTTGTTCCCACAATCCGTTTCTTCTCCTCCTTAGCATGCTCCTCATTGTCCTCCTTCCGCCCTCCTCCCCGTATGCGTTTCTTCTCCCATTCCTCGTCCCTCCCTCGTTCTTGTATTCCCTCCTCGCTCCTCCTCTTCCTCCTCCTCCTCCTCCTCCTCCTCCTCCTCCTCCGCCTCCTCATCAACATCATCATCACTATTCCACCTTATCCTTCTTCTCTCTTCCCGCCAATCCCATCCTCGCTCCCCCTCCCCCACTGACCTCGTTCCTCTCCTCATTTGTCCTCTTACCCTCACATTGCGTGTTCAAAGCTCGTCATCAGATCGCCTTGTGCGCACAGTGCGTCGTATAAAATCGGGGCCCGCACGCGCATCTCGTTGTTCGGTCGCTGCCCCCCCCCCCCCCCCCGGTGCGCTCGAGGTGTGCACGTCCTCGCCCTCCCCCCACAGCTACTCCTTTCTCGCCCTCGCCTCGGTCTCGTCCCCCCCCTCACACACCTCCCAGGACAGCTAGGATGCGCACAGGGTGTGTGAGTGTGGGTGCATGAGTCACATCGTTCCCAGACCCCCTCGAGTCATGAAAAAATCACGACGGAAGGTTTTTCTATATTTTCGGCCTCTGGGGGCCCGCACCGAGCCTCGAGGCCGTCAAAAAACGGCTCGGGATGAAGAGCCGGTCCCGGCGAATAGGTCGGGACCTCTGGGGGTCGCGCAATGGAAAAATCATGACGTCGGGGGTCTGGGTTTGGCGCACAAAATGCCCATCATGTGTGGATATGCACATGCGGTTTTTGTTGGAGACTCTCAGCGGATGAGTTTGGCCAAGCCGTGCGCGCCCACACGTAGCATTGCTAACATGCCAGGGGAGGTGTCGTCCTGACTACGCCAGGATCCCGAATTCCCGAATTCACTCTCAGCTGGCCCTGGTCCTGACGCACCCGATCGGGGCGCGCTATGCTCAACCGCCTGGACAAAGGGCGCGCAGAGCATCGCCTCAATCCAGGACTCTTGGCAGCGGAGCAACGCTCCTCGCGCAGTTTTTTTGTCCCCCAGGGGGGCCGGGTCTCGCAAATGCGACATGTATCCCCCTCCTCCTTCTCCCTTTCCCCCGAGTCTACCTCGCCCTGTCGGCCCCTGCCAGTCCTTTCCGTCGTGGCCTTTCGGTCGCCCGTTCGGTCGTTGATGCCCTCCAATTCTTTTCTTCTCCTCCAAGCAGATGCGCGGCCCCCAGGACGCAACCAACCCTTGATTATGAGTCCTCTGTCTCGACCTCCCTCACTCCTCTTCTTCTCCCCACGGGTCGGCAGGTGATCCCCGCACCACGTAGTGGGAAGATTCCCCCCGAAGTTTCTCGGCCCGGCCTGCGCCAGCAGGCCCGAGTTGATGCTTCAGGCGTTGCTTTTGTTGATCACAAGCTGTACTTCTGTTCGGATGCAACTCCTGGGATGTCAAATTCTGATTTTGCCCTGGTCCGACACCCGGCCTAATCCCGCTCAATCCCGCTTAATCCCGCTTGATCCCGCTTAACCCGGCTTAATCCGAGGCCCACTCTGGCGTAACAGCCCCAATGGGTCTTATCGTTCCGACGAAAGCCTCCCAGTAGTTGCCTCCTAAGTTCTGGACGTGGACGAGGAGTACACCTTTACGTCGCTGCTCGGCAGAGCCAGTCCGCGCGGGCGCTCGCAGTAGCCGGGGGCGCTGACGAACTGACTGCCCGGGTGCAGGAGCAGAGGCGCGGGATGGCGAGGCGGCCGCGGAGGACAGGAGCCGAAGCGAGAACAAACGGCACAGACATCAATTTCCGGCGCTCCGCGTGGACTTCTTGGATCTGCACTGTGCCCCCCCTGGCGGCGGAGAAACCCGCGCGGAGCGCCAAACGTTTATGCTTATGCTGTTGTCTGTTCCTCCAGGGAGGGGGCATCAGAGACTCACGGCCACTCCCAGCCGCAAGATACCAGAGCGCGTGCCCCTTGGGGGGGAAGCCCTCTGGAAGCCCCGTGCCAGGGGCCAGGCCCCGCCAATGGGGCCAGCGACCAGGGGAGGGGGGGAGGGAGGGGAGGGGGAGGGAAGAGGGGGGTGGGAGGAGGAGGAGGAGGAGGAGGAGGAGGAGGAGGAGGAGGCGATAGGAGTAGGAGGAGATAGGAGGAGGAGGAGGAGACAGGAGTGGGAGGAGGACGAGATAGGAGGAGATAGGAGGAGGAGATAGGAGGAGGAGATAGGAGGAGGAGGAGGAGGAGGAGGAGGAGGAGGAGGAGGAGGAGGAGGAGAGAAGGGCGGGCAAACAATTGGACGGCCAAAGAGAAATGCTGCCCAACGGGCCTGTGACCCACCCGCCGCGAGCGTCGCCACCCCGAAGTGTCCTGTGGGCCAACGCTGTTGGAGTGAGGCCCCCCGTTTCCCCGTCCTCCCCGCCCGAGGTGAACCAGTTCCTCGCGCCGGATGCCGTCGAGGCCCTCGAGGCCACCTACGCGCTCCAGCCGACGCACATCCCTGGCGCCTTCAGCTTCGACGTGCCTCAGGCCCGCTGCGCAAAACCCTCGTCGTTGTCGGCCCTGGCCGTCATCGGGCCCCTCTACCTCCACCTCCTCTCTTCCCTCCCCCCCCCTCTCCCCCTCAACCCCCTTCATCCCGCCTCCTCCTCCTTCTCCTCCTCCTCCCTCTCCTCCTCCTCCTTCTCCTCCTCCTCTCCTTCCTTCTCCTGCTCCCTCGTCGAACTCCTCCTCCTCCTCGTCTCCCTCCTTCTCCTGCCCACCTCCCTCCTGCTGCGGGAGGGGAGGGGAGGGGAGAGTAGGAGGGATGAGAGGGAGAGAAGGAAAGGGAGCGGGAGACGAAGATGGGAGGGGGACTGGGGAGGGGGAGCAGGGGTAGAGGGATCCACCGTCCCCGTACTCCTCGTCCTTGGCGTCCTCGATCTCGACGTCGTCGCCGAAGGATGCATACGCCCCGCTTTTCCGGTGCTCCCGCTCTCCGTGGCCGCCAGGCAGTGCAAACTACAGGGGCCAGGGAGGGCGGTTGCCCTTGGCAGCAAGCCCTCCCCGGGGAGGCCGACACGGAGGTTCGAGGCCCGCGCGGTGATCAAGCCTGTGCTCACGTGTGTGGCAGTTTCTGCGCGGCCGCCCTCGTCTTCGCCTCTCTCTCTCCACCGCGCGCCGGACAGTTTGCCTACCGCTTGCCCCGATGATCCCCACGCTGGTGCGGACCGCCGCTGCCTCGCCGCCCACGAGAAAGGTGCTGCAGTCTCCGGGGCCCCCCGGAGGCCTCCACGGGAGCCTCCGAGCGCGACCTATCGGGAGGCCCCCCCCCCCCCCCCGGGGAGTCGCGGCGGCACCGCCGAGGTCGTATACGGTCGGGAGCCTCTGGTCGCGGCGGCGGCCCCGGCGAGACGCTATGGCCTGCGAGCGGACAGCGTGTCGCTCCGCTTCGCGTGGAGAGCGGCTGGGAGACGCTGGATACGTGGAAGCTTGGGAAGGTGGAAGTAGACAGCGTGCCGCGCCGGAGCGCGGTGGGCCAGACCGGCGACGCGACACGCCAAGCAAAGTGTGCGTCGAGTAAAAGGGGAGCGATTCATGGGGGGACAGCGAGGGCTGCAGAAAAGGGGCCCTTGAGGGCCCCTCCAAGGGACCCGTTGGACCCGAGAAGCGCACCCGTTTTCCCTCCTGTGCACCGCCCTCCCACGAAGCGATGCTCAAGCACACGTTCCTGACTGCAGGTGGGCGACGCAGAAAGACGGGTTCGTCTGCGCCGACGTTGGCGCGTCAGCTGCCCGCGAAAGGTGGTGCGTGAGCGCCCTCGTCTCCACTGGCGTGCCGCGCCGTCGGCCCGCGTAAGGCACCGCGTATGGCCGCCGTGCCATCGCGCGTAAGGCCTTCTCGTCTCGAGTGGACAGCGTCCGCGGCGGCGCGGACAGCGAGTCCTGTTCAGACTGGGCAAGTGCCCACTCTTGCCGTACAGTGGGGGGGCCATGCCAAGAACTACCCTGCTTGCCTCCATGATGCCGTGGGTTTCTCGGGCCTCGATTGTTTCGTCCAGTGGGAAGCGCGACGCTCCCACACCAAAAAGCTATAAACGCCCTGGGGTCTCAGGGCTGGGGTCCCAAGCACTTGGGAATCGCACTGTCTCTGGAGACCCCCATCGCGACTTCTGCAGGACTGGCCGCTTCAGCGACCCGCGCGCTCGACCTGGCCGTCTGAGAGCTCGCCCGCCCGGCCCGCCCGTCGGGGTTCGCCCGACCGCCCGACCCGCCCGTGTGGTTCTGCCGCCTGGTCTTCCTGCTCCCAGCCCCCCTCCTGGTAACCTCCCTCGGGCTCCATCCTTGTCCTTCCCCCTTGTCCCTTCCCTCCCCCCTCTCTTCCCCTGTTTTAGGGGCTGCGCGAACTACGTCCCTTGAAAAGAAATAGAAATACACAAACAAAAAGTGACGAATGGTGAAGAGTAGCAACTAGCTCAGAACTGCAGTGACTAACTCCGAACAGTCGTAAACTTTTGTGTGAGACATCTAGGGGAGATGTACGCCCAAGGGGGGTACGATGGAAGACGAAGATGGCGGGTCTCGAGGGTTTGGGATGTACACTTTGAGTGGCGCGCGAGCAGGTAAGAGCGAGCAGTCTCAAACCGATTGCTGTCGGTGCTGTTGGGGGGCTGGTTCTGGCGCAGCACCGGAACACTTTTCAGCCTGAGTCCAATCTCAAAGCACATGCATCCGCCGCTGGAGCGAGAACGCCAGAGCGGAATGAGGGGCTCCAGCACAATCATTGTCTGGTAATGGTTACTCAGCAAAAGAGTACACGGCGCAGTAGCCTTGGCCGGGGCTCTCGACACCCCTCTCTCCGCGCGGGTAGCTCGCGAGACGAGGCCGACCCGCCCTGACGTCGCTCACGGCGCCCGGCATCTGCAGGGCCCCGCGGACGTCTGTGGCTCCAGCGCTCCGCCCGGCAGCTCCGCCGAAGGGGGCCCCTCCCGTGCTTGGCCATGCTCGCGCGCCTCGCCACACCGCCGCGGCCGCCGCACGAGCTCCTGGAGGAGGGCGCCACGGAAGCAGAGGAGGCGGCCCTGTCCTCTCCACCTCCTCCCCTTCCTCGTCGCTGCCCCCTCCCTCGGCATCGCCCTCCCGCCGCTGCGGCTCCATTCCTCCCAGGTCCGCCCCATGCGCGCCTGTCCCCGTCCTGCTGATGCTGGCCCTCCTCCCTCTCGCCGCCCCCTCTCCCTGCTCCATTCCTCCTTGCCCTGCTCCTCGTCCGATTCCTCCTCGTCGTTTCCCAGTGTCCTTCCTCCCTCCCCGCTCAACCGTCATTCTTCGCCCCTCAACGACCTCTGTCCGCCGCCCTCCGCGCCCATCCCTCACCTACCTCCCTCCATCCTCATACACCCGACTCTTTCTGCCCCATCCCCCAACATCATTCATCATTCATCTAGTCTCCCTCAGTTCCCCAATATACTTCCTCATCTCTATGGTTTCTAATCTTCCTCATCAGACCTGCGTCTTCGGAGTCAGGCCACTGCTTTTGTACTTGTCCTATTCTGCCTCCTCGTCCTCCTCCTCGTCCTCCTCCTCCTCCTCCTCCTCCTCCTCCTTCTCCTTATCTCTCTAGTCTAGGGCCCCCGTTGTTCATATCCTGCAAAGGGCGACGGGGGGCAGGAGCATCAGAGCAGACAACGGCCGACCCGAGTCAAGCGGCTGGCCGATACCTTCTCGCTCCCCGGCCACCCCTCTCTTCCCCCCCCTCCACGGTCCCCCCTTCTCCTCTTGCTGCACCCGTCCCTGTCCCCCCCCTCCTCTCCTGAGTCGGCGCCACCCCAACATACTCATACCATACTTGCGTCGCCCCCCCCCCCGGGGGCGACGCGCGCACCGAGAAATCTTGTAGCATATGCGTCGTGGCGGGCGCTTTTTGGCCACACCGCTCAGGAAGCGATATACTACAAGATGGGCATCCTATATGCTCGGGTCGGACGCGCGCCTCCAAGGAGGACCTATAGTATGAGTTCCCCAATCAGTGCTTGCACTGAAGGGGTCCCAGCGGAAGTTGAAAGATTTGGCGAAAGTTTCCCGCCGATTTTGGTAGCAGGCTGGGTGCCCAGGTTCCCGGTTCCAGGTTCCCGGTTATTGGTTCTGGGCCGATTTCGGTGTGTTTTGGGTTTCCGGGCTCCCGGCTTCCCGGTCGATCTCTTCAGCGAAAATCAGGCCAGCCATAACTGGGGGAGCTGTGGTCCTTACCCCCCTGGGGGACCCATCGATTTCGACACCCCTCTGGAGAGATCGTCGATGCGATGGGTTTCCCCAGGAAGGTAAGGACCACAGCTCCTGGTCGGAAAACCATCCACTGATTGGGGTTCCCAGACCCCCGACGTCATCCATTGCGCGACCCCCAGAGGTCCGGACCCCTTCGCAGGGACCGATTTTTCATCCTGGCTGTAGTTTTTTGACGGCCCCGAGGCCCCGTAAAGGGCTCCGAGAGGCCGAACATAGCGAGAAACCTCCCGTGCCGATTTTTCCATGACTCGAGGGGGTCCGGGCACTGAGCGCTCCTTCCTGCCCAGGCCCGAGCCTCTCTCCCCCCCCTCCCCGCGGCCTTTCGGCTCCTCGGTCTCTCTCTCTCTCTCTCTCTCTGCGGCCTCTCGCCACGCGATCTCTCGGCCCCCCGAGCGGGGCGCGCGGAGGTCGGTGCCACGCCCTCGGCTGCTTCTGAGCACTCCGCGCCACGAGCATGACGACCCCCCCCCCTCGCCCACCCGCTCCCCCCACCAAACCACCCCAACCCAACCCGAAGGCCCAAATTTATCCTCGATTTCCAGTGGGGGGGGGTCGGGAACCATGGAAAAAACACGTGTGGAACCCTTACCCCCCCCAACCCGAAATTCGGGTCTTCGGGTTGGGTTGGGGTGGTCTTGGAGGTAGTCACCACCCGCTCCCCAGGCTCCGTCGAGTAGCGAAAGAATCACGAGAGTTTTCGTTCGCCATTTTCGGCCCCTGGGGGCCCTCGCCAGGCCTCGGGACCGCCGACAAAGACGACGAAACGAACGTCCCGGGGCAAGGGTCCAGACCTCGAGGGGTCGCGTCATGAAAAAATCATGACGTCGGGGGTCTGGGGACCTGGGCCGACCCGCCCGTCAGCGTGCGCCCGTCGGGCTTCGCACGGCCTGCCAGCCCGACCCGTCCGTTGCAGGTCCGCCCTCCGGGTGGGCTTGTCCACTCGCTGCCTCGAGGGCTCCCTCCTTCTCTCTAGTGAGAAAGAAAGATATGAGGCACTACAGAAAGGGCAGTGCCTTCGAGGATAGAAGGAATTGTCATCTCTTCCTCGGCGGAAGGCGGCGGAAGGTCGGCGGAAGTAAAACGAGGCCGCCTCCGCCGGCGGAAGCCGGCGGAAGCCGGGTGAATGCGGCGGAAGTAAAAGATGCGCCCCCAATAGATGAAAACGTTTTTGGGTGCAGGGCTTCCGAAACCGACCAGATACATACCTACACGACCACCCTTTCGGTGATAAGGAGGTTGTGTGTGGGGGGTAAACTTGACAAAAACTGCTGTTCTGCACTGGCGATGCTGACGTGATGGCGATGATTATGGTGGTGGTGATGGTGGTGATTCATGCTGGCGGTGATAATGGTGACACTGAGAACTCGACACCATCGGGGAATCCTCAAACAACCACCTGGACACCTGCGAGACAACCGCGGGACAACCACAAGAACATTGAGAGACCGTTGGGGCCCCATTCGGACACCATCGGGACACCATCCGAACACCATCGGAACACCGCTGGGAGGAGCACCTGAAGACACTGCGGTGGCACATGAACGACGCTATCGGGACACCGTCGGGACACCATGTGGACACCAGACACCGTCGGGACACCATCAGGACACAACCAGGACACAGCCATGTAAATCGGTTAATCAGTCTCATTATACATACGTATATATACACATATGTGTACATATGCGTATATTTCATCGTCGGTCACTACCCCAATCTAGCAGCCTCAATATCAATTGGTTTCAGCATCCATTTTATAATCGATCCCACCATCTATCGATTGATCTCACGATCGACCTGTCTCTCTATGTCTCTCCCATCCATCGGTCTCACAGTCTATTGATCGATCGATCTCACGGGACAAACCAGCGGGACAACCATCAGGGTACCATCGGGACATTATCGGCACACTATCTGTACACCATCGGGACACTATCGGGGCACCATGGGGACAGCATGTGAACACCATCGGGAAATCATTGAGACACCATCGGGGCACGATCGGAACACCATCGGGACACCATCGGAACACCATCGGGACACCATCGAGACACCATCGGGATACCATCTTGACACCATCTTGACACCATCGGGACACCACGTGGCCACCACCATCGGGGCACCATCGGGACACCATCGGGAAACCATCTGGACACCATCGGGACACCATGTGGTCACCATCGGGACACCATGGGGACACCGTCGGGACACCATCTGGACACCGTCGAGACACCATCGGGACACCATCGCGAAATCATCGAGACCCAAATCGCCCGCCCACGCAGTTTCGCCTCGCCCGCACGACACGAACACGAACACGAAACCGAAACCGTCCTCCCGGTTGGGGGGGTCGCTTATCACTCCGACCTTACCCCCCCAACCCCCGGTCCACGGCCCCGCGGTCGGGGCCCCTGGGCCGCGACCCCGCGGAGACGGGGTGCTCCCTCGCGGCTGCCCCGCGCGGAATGGAGCCAAGCGACCGCGTGTGCCACGGGGTCGCGCCCCGAAAAATGGAGCCCGCGAGGGTCTGGACAAGTACATGCTCGCTGCTCGCCCTGCTCGCGGCCCTTTCCGCCCCCGGCCGTCAGCGGTGCAGACACAGCACGTGCTTCCCAGCAGAGGCGGCGGGGGCGACGGGCGGCGGCCGCCAGACGGCGTCGCGTCGCAGCTGCCGGGCAGCGTCGTCCGCCGGCGGCGTGGCCGCCGCCGTGCTGGGCGCGGCCTCGGTCGCCGTCGTGGGCAGGCCTCGGGCAGTGTCGAGCGGGGTTTGCCGCTGAGGGGGGTCGCCACCGCCTCTGGAGGATCGGTTGATCGAGGAGGAGGAGGCTGGATTCGGGGGGCCGGTGACCTCACCGTGTGGCGAGTCGGTGGGGATTCGGGGTGAACGCACGGTTTAGGGACTCGGGCCCTTCTCTCCGAGGACGTCTCCAGGGTCCCACGACCGCGCGGTGACGGACCGTGAGGTCTTTCGGGGGTTCGAGGTCGCCGCGCGGTCTGTCGCTACACGGTTTTGGAAAGGCGATCGAGGAGAGGGGGAGGTGCTCGACGCTTTGGTTGTTGTCTGTCGTGTCGGACGACGTGGAGGGGATGATGAGTGCCCAGGGCAAGGGGGGGTACGAGATCTGCTCATGAGGTCAGTTTCGGCCCCGCCGCCAGATCCTTTCCTCAACAGATTGGCGCCTCCGGCGCCAGGAGAATCAGTTGCGTGAGTTGATTCGCAAGCCCCTTTTTCCGTCCGACCCGAGTCTGGGTGTTCGGACGAGGTGCTGGGGGATCCTCCGCCTCCTTAGAAGGAGGTGCGGTGGCGACCCCTCTAGTGTTGCTCCTCCTTGGCGCTGCGCAACGCCTGGAGGTCTCGGGCGGCGACACAAACTGCGGTCGACGCCTCTGTCGCCAAAGGTGCGTCGCTGGCGGAGGGCGGCGTCGGCAGCGCCGTCCTGTCCGAGGGCATGGGCTGCGGCAACTGGCACTCGGCCTCGCTGGAGGCGGAGACGGTGGAGAGTGCCGGTGCGTGTGTCGAGAAGTGCGGCTTTCAACAAAGGGCCTTGTCTTCGAGGACCGAAGGAGGTGTCATCGCCCTTTTGGCAGAAGGAGGTGGAAGCAACACGAAGCCGCCTCCGCCGGCGGAAGGCCAGTGAAAGTTGGCGGAAGCACAAATCAGCCTCCCAAGAAATGGCCATGTTTTTGGTTCAGGGTGTTTGAAGCCGACAGGTGCCGCCAGACTCCAGGCTGTGTCTCCGTGAATTACCAGGTTAGGCCTGCCAACGGCATCGACGGCATTGATGTGGGGAGCTGCTACCTCTTGAACGAGCCTTGCATTGAGGGGCCCAACGAGTATTGGGACGCATACGCCTTGCCTGAGAACGACCGTATGGTATCACGTATGGGCAGCCACGTCAGTCGGCAAATTGGATGCTCGAATTTGGGAGAGATCACTCGGGGCGATGAAACGATGGAGTGGAGCTCTTACGAATGCTCTTTGAAATGCGAGAAGGACGGCGCGTGTGTTGGCATTGTCACCGGGTCGTCAGTGCCAGAGTGTGGCGATGGCAATAGTGAGCGCAGATGCCAGTTGCTGTACGGCGAGTGCTCGGAGAGTCTGGATGGTAATTTCACCTGCGTGGACATATTCTACAAGACGCCGTGGACTCTCTCGATGGATACAGGAGCCTCGTACTCCACCTCCGCGAGTATGAGACCGCGGTTTGGCTCGGGAGCGTCCGCCGGGGCTCTCTCAGCAGACTCTGGAGTATCCTCCTCCACCTCCTCCACGACCACCTCCTCCACGAGTTCGAGACCGCGGTCCGTCTCGGGAGCGCCGGACTTGGCGTATGACCCAACCAGCGAGCTGCTCGGAGAACTATTCGCGATCTCGGCAGACGCCGCCGAGGGCTCGGAGGAGGGTAATTAGCAGGGGAGGAGTGGGATGAGTGGGGGCGGAGGGGAGGAGGGAGGAAGGCGTCCTCCTCCTCGTTCTCCTGCTCCTCCTCCTCCGCCCCCGCCCCTCCTCCTCCGCCTCCTCCGCCTCCTCCTCCTCCTCCTCCTCCTCCTCCTCCTCCTCCTCCTCGTCCTGCTGCTGTGGTGCAGGCAGGGCTGGCTAGCGGGCAGGCCGCCCCTGGGCCCCCCCGGAGGCGGCACCGCCCCGCTCGCGCGGGGTGGGCCGCGCTCGCCCCCGCGGTGGCGCTCGCTCGAGTGAGCTGCGCTCGCCTCCTGCGTCGTCCCTGCCACTGCTCCTGCTCCTTCCGGAGGCCTCATGGCGCCAACATCGCAGAGCGGATTTCGGTCGGACAATGACAGGATGGGCCCGGAGTGTCCTGGAGAATTTCGTTCCTGACTTCGAGGTGAATTTCGCGCGGATTTGACTGGGCCTGCACTGAAGATTAAAACACACCGCACGACATTCACTTCGTTTTTCGCTCGCCGCTTCGGGGCTTTGCATTGACAGAAGTCCACGCCACAATCCGCTGCAGCACGTCTGCGAGGTCGGTGCAGTGAGGACGCCTTGAAATTGACACCAACACCAATATCGGTGGCGTGCCTCCACCGAGGGTGCAGGATCCCGATATCGGCGATGTTGGTGACACTCGGGCTTCCCAGGCGTCCGAAAGATTACGGTCGTTCGCTTTCAAATCTCACAGGCCAAAATCCATACGTGCTATTGCGATGCGTAATTTGTGACGTATGGTAAATCTTCGAAAATTGTGTTTTTCTTCGTATGTTCTGGACCCAATGTTTTGATGTCTCGGCTATTTTTGTTGTTTTGTGCTCTGGGGGGGTCGAGAACGACCCCTGTCCAAGTTTCTGTGTGCTAATCCCGTCCCCTGTTTCGTGCTATATGCGCGATGTGCTGCCTTCGCTCCTCACCCATGATTTGAGGGAGAGAAAGAGAGCTGGAGGGAGGAGGGGGGGCGGACGTGGAGGTAGAGGTGGAGTAGCACAACAGGTACAGGGAACGGGGACATGCATACCATTGTTTTCGGTGCCCCCTGTCCTGCTGACCTGTGCTATGTTGGCCCCGCGTGCCTCCTCCTGTCCTTCCTCGCCCTTGCACCGTGCACCCGTGATGCGCCAGCCTCATCGCGCGAGGCCATTCCTCAGATCCCCCTTTTGCTGAGACCCTGAGACCCCAGGAC